GCCATTATTCCATATGAAGTTGTGAATTTTTCTTTCAAGGTCTGTAAAGAATTGTGTTGGTAATTTGATGGGAATTGCATTGAATCTGTGGATTGCTTTTGGTAAGATGGACATTTTTACTATGTTAATCCTGCCAAGCCATGAGCATGGGAGATCTTTCCATCTTCTCATATCTTCTCCAATTTCTTTCTTCAGAGGCTTGAAGTTTTTTTCATATAGGTCTTTCACTTGCTTGATTAGCTACCCAAGGTACTTTATGTTATTTGTGGCTATTGTGAAAAGTGTTGTTTCCCTAATTTCTTTCTTAGCCCTTTTGTCTTTGGTATATAGGAGGGCTACTGATTATTTTTTTGAGTTACTTTTTTTTTTTTTTTTTTTATCCAGCCACTTTGCTGAAGGTGTTTATCAGCTGAAGGAGTTCCCTGGTAGAATTTTTTGGGGTCACTCGTGTATACTATCATGTCATCTGCAAATAGTGATACTTTGAATTCTTTCTTTCTGATTTGTATCCCCTTGATCTCCTTTAGTTGTCTTATTGCTCTAGCTAGGATTTCAAGTACTATGTTGAAGAGATATGGAGAGAGTGGGCAGCCTTGTCTTGTCCTTGATTTCAGTGGGATTGATTTAAGTTTCTCTCCATTTAGTTTGATGTTGGCTATAGGCTTGCTGTATATTGCCTTTACTATGTTCAGGTATGTGCCTTCTTATCCCTGATCTCTCCAGGACTTTAAACATGAACGAGTGTTGGATTTTAGCAAACGCTTTTTCAGCATCTAAGGAGATGATCGTGTGGGGTTTTTTTCTTTCAGTTTGTTTATATGGTAGATTACATTGATCAATTTCCATATACTGAACCACTCTTGCATACCTGGGATGCCCAGGGTTAATGTTTGAGCTCAGAGAGTCTCCATAAGGTCTACTACTGCCACCCCCACATACCTGGTGCCACCCAGAACAAAGCTGCTTTCATCGGTGAAGAGTATCCATTTTGCATCCGGCCAGGAGATGTCTGTCAATTCTGGCCTTAAGCTCTGAATGTGTTAAAACACGATATGACATTCGTGCTGAACTGTTGAGTCAGGATCCTGCAAGAGTGTTGCTGGGTTAAGAGCTGAAGTGAGACCATATCGAATGCGGGATGGGTTGAGGAGCAGGGCCTGGTAATGTGCCAGCCTAGCATTCAATAGCCAGCAATCAGGTGGGCTCTTTAAAATTCCGTCTATAGAATGAGGTATAGTGATCACTAGTTCTTTTCCCATGGTAATCTTATCTGCATCTTTAATAAGTTGGTGGCAGCCACAATATGGAGACAGGGGGTCAGCCCTGAACCACCAGGTCCAGCTTCTTTTATAAGTAGGCCACAGGTCCCTTCCACGGGCATAAAGGCTGTGTTAGGACCCCTTTAGCTATGCCATTGTTCTCGTCTACATACAAATGGAATGGTTTATAAGTATCAGGTAGTTCCAGGGCTGGTGCCTCTAACAGAGCCTGTCTGAGTCTCTGGAAAGCATTGTCTATTTCAGAAGTCCAGTTCAAATAAATTTCTTGCCTTTTGTGGCCTCATATCGGGGCTTGGCAATTTCAGTAAATCCAGGCACCCAGAGTCTGAAAAATCCTGCTGATAACAGAAATTCCCTCACCTGTCTACTCGAGGTGGGGACAGGGACATTTAAAATAGTCTCTTTTTGGGTGGGGGACAACATACATTGCACCCTACCGCTTGAGAATGTAACCCAGGTAAGTTACCTCTGACTGGCAGAGCTGGGCCTTCTTGGCAGACACTAGGTATCCCAGACAACCAAGTTCTTGCAGCAGCTCTCAGTTAGCCTCCTGGCATGTTGCCAACATTGGAGCCATGATGAGATTAGAGGAGGCTTACTGGGGGTGGTTGTGTCTGACTCACCCAGGTCCTCATGCAGGGCCTCGTTGAAGATGGTCAGCGAGTTCTTGAACCCTTGTGGGAGGAGAGTCCAAGTGAGCTGCTCGTTGAAGCCTCTCTCCATGCTGTGCCATTCGAAAGTGAAAAGAGGTTGGCTAACGGGTGCCAGGGACAAACTGAAAAAAGTGTCCTTCAGGTCCAAGACGGTGTAGATTGTCTGTTCAAGGGAAGGCTGCTCAGCAAAGTGTAAGGGTTTGGCACAGTGGGATGCTGACTTCCCTGAGGTCCTGCACCTGTTGATAGTCATTTGAATGAGGCCTTTTCACAAGTAGATGGGGAGTATTCCAAGCCAACTGGCAGGTAATCAGGATGCCTGCCTCCCACAGTCTATTGACGGGGGGGGGGGGGGGTAATTCCTGCTCTTGCCTCTTGAGGCATTGGGTACTATCTGACTCTGGCCGGGGTGGCCCCTACTTTTAATTGTACAATGATTGGAACCCTGTGTCTGGCCAAAATTACTGAGTTGTTTTCTGCCCAGACTTGACTGCATTCAGGAATTCATCCAATAGAAAACCCTCAGCAGGGTGAGAGGGCTGGGGGAACCGTTTTTATTCTTCCTCCAATGCCAAAGTTAAGACATGAATGGGGACAGTAAACTTCCTAACTTGTATTCCCTCTGGCCCAAAATAGATTTGCGCTTCCATTTTGGTCAAGAGGTCCAGTGCCAAAAGCAGGTAGGGGCATCCTGGGATCACCATGAATGAATGGGTTACCCATCCCATTCCTAAGTCCACTGTTCTTTGAGTAGTCCACAGGTAAGGCTTAGTTCCTGTGTCCCCTTGGCATGTCTTCTTGTCAGAGAGGGGTCCCAGAGCTGTTTCAACACTGACTGCTGAGGCCCCGTGTCCACTAGAAAGCCCACGGGTGTCCCCTCTACCTTTAAGGTTACCCAGGGCTCATGGAGGGGTGCTGAGCCCTGACATCCTCAGTCATCAATTTTCTTCTAACTCGGGGACCTTAGGGCCTCCCCCAATTATTCTTGGGGCATTTTTCCAATGGCCCAGTTCCCTGCAATATGTACATAGGTCTCTCTGTAGGAGCCTACAGGTGGGAGAGATGCTTATTCCACCACCTATGGCCATCCAGCAGCCAGCTGTCATAGGCTTACCTCTACCCCATCCTTTTGCTAGAGAACACTGGACTGCTTTGCTCCGCAAGGAGGATCTGGGTTATTCCCCAAGTTTGTTGATCTTCCAATGTCTCTCAGTTGTTGTAGACCTTCTCTGCTATGACAATTAACTCTCCTCTATTCTTGCTAACAAACTCATCAAGCCTCTGGAGCTTTTGGTGGATGTCCAGGGCAGCTTGGGTCGCAAATGTCATGTTGATCACAGATTGGTGTTCCAGCGCTACTGGGTCTTATTTGTGTGTAGGTTTGGTAGGCTTCCAGGAGCCTCTGCAGGTAGTTCCTAGGGGGCCTCATTTTTTCTCCTGCATTACCTCAGTTATTGTACTTTTAGATTTCTGGGTCGCCAAGTGGCTTCCCAGAGACCTCCCATCAGAACGTGGGGATTCCAGCCAGTTTGGCCGGTCCAAGGGGAAAGCTGCATCAACTTGTCTAGAGTCTGGGCTCCCATACCAATTTCCAGGCAGCTCTAAAGTACCGTCCCTCTCCTCAGCAATGAAGAAGGTCTGCAAGAGTTGCTGACAATCGTCCCATGTGGGATGATATATCACCATTATGGAATCTATGAGCTCAATGAGGTCTGAGGGTATCTCAGAAAAATTGGGGTTCTGGGCCCTCCAGTTATACAAATCACTAGTGGGAAAAAGGTCATAAGTCTGGAATTAGTAACCATTCTCATTTGGTGGGGCATTGGGTGCAAAGGTAAGGTTACCATGGAGTTGGGTTGATGCCCAGCATGTGATTGCGTGCATGGGGACCTCCACTGAGAGTCTGAAGAGTCTCTGTCCCTCATTCTTTCTCTCTGCTTCCGCCTCTTTCTCTTTCCTTCTCTCTCTTTTCCTCTCTATCTGCCTCCCTCCCTGCTGAGCCTCGCCTCCTGTTCTCCTCTCCCACAGGTTCCAGTTCTGCCTGATCTAGCTCCAGTGAGGGGTCCTGATGGGGTGCAAAGGGAGGTGGATCTAGCTCTTCCTCAGGCGCTGTCCAGAGAGGGGGGAGGGGGAGAACTGGCGACCTCCTGAAGTGGGGGAAGGTGGGATTTCAGCCAGGAAAGAGGGCTTTCCACCAAATACTGCCAGATAACTGTGTGGGGCACCTAATGGGGGGTCCTGGCCTCCCAAAGAGGACTTCCTTGACCCGGTAATTGTGGGGAGATGGAATGTCCCATCCTCTGGCCATCTGACCTTAAAAGTGGGCCACTCACTACTGCAAAAGGTGGTTAACTTCCTAGGGCGGACAAACAGACCATTATCATCTGCTAGCCACCTGAAATCCTTAAGGTGAGATTGGAGAAAGGCCAGGGGAGTGGTCTGCGTTTGGCCCATTCTATTACTCCAAGAAGTACAACAATAAAACGACAACAATCACAGCCAGACAAACAACTATACACAGACACATGTTCCCAGGGAAGTGAAGACAAGAAGCAAAAAAGCTAGATCAACTAGTGAGCTCTGGTAGGAAGAGAGACCCTTTGCCGGATCCAGATCCAATTGAGAGCTGTCACGCTCTTTTGAAGAGGACCCCAAGAACAACTGAGAGCTATCACATTCTTCCAGAGAGGGATCCAAAACCAAAGCCAAATGAGAACCCTCAAGTTCTCCCAAAGACGTGACAGGAACATCTTCCATACCTCAGGCTGGGGATTTTCCAGCACATCCCCTAATCCCAAGGGCCCATTCCAACTCCTTTTGCAAAAGGAAACCAAAACCAAGAAAGTAAACACCAGAAACAAGAACACAGACACAAAGAAACACAAAACATAAACCAAACCAGTATCTCTAATAGGGCGTGTCCTCCTAACTCACTTACAGATTGGTGGGGAAGTCATGGGTTCCCCTTAAACACCTTACTACTTGAGTAGGGGGCCTCAGTGATTTCCAGCCAAAGCACGATAAGTTAAGGTCCAGAAGACACTAAAAGAACGACCCCAGACTCAAGTAGCATGCAAACAACAAAGGGCATTTATTCTGCAGAACACCAGCATGCTGGGGCCACCATCCAGGCAAAATGGCAACCCTACACAAAGGTGCACAGGTCTTCTTATAGGAAACTTGGGTAATTTTCAGTGACAGATAGGTCATCTTTATCATGATTGGTGCACATAAAAAGCAAGGGTATAAGTACATCTATGATTGGCTATGGCTAGCTAGAGCCTGATTAGAGGTTGGGGGCTCTCTAAACTGGCCCAAACTGGCTCAAACTGGTGGGCTGCAGGGAAATCACAAGGGTTTAAGGGCTTGCAACCAGTCTAGGTGGTCAGTGGGCTACATTGTTGTATTAAGAATGTTCTACCACAAGATAAGGCTGCCCAGAACAGATGTCCCTTTGCATTTTTGCGCTTATCTCTATGCTGTTTCTTGGGTGGGAGATTTTATGATCTTGTTCCTGGAACTGGAGGCTTAGTCACTAAGGAGGACCCTAGGGAGGATGCTTAAATCTCATTCAGAATGGCAAACAGGATAGACACTAGATGCAGTGAAAGAGAGGAAACAGGACGGGAGCCTACTATAGAGGGTCCTCTGAAAGGATCTACCCAACGGGGGATGGAAGCAGATGCTGAGACTCATGGACAAACTTTGAGCAGGCACATGGAGTCTTGTAGAAGAAGAGGAGGGTGGGGATAGAGGGACATGGAGGGGACAGGACCCCCACAAGGAGATCAACAAAGCTAAAGGATCTGAGCCCAGGGGGTCCTGCAGAGACTGATGCACCAATGGAGGACCATGCATGGAGAGGGCCCCCTGCTCAGATGTGGCCGATTGGCAGCTCAGTCTCCCTGTGGATCTCCAAGTGAGGGGAACAGGAACTGCCTCTGTCATGAACTCAGTTACCTACACTTTGATCACTCGTTCTTGGTGATACAGCCTTACCAGGCCACAGAGGAAGAGGATCCAAGCAGTCCTGGTGAGACTTAACAAACTATGGACAGTTGGCAATGGTGGAGAACTCCCCCTTTCAGTGGACTAGGGGAAGAGGATAGTGGGGAAGAGGGGGGGAGGATGAGACTGGGAGGAATTGAGGGAGGGGGTTTCAATCAGGATATACAATGAATAAATTGTGAAGAAAAAAATTAAAATTAAAATAATTAAAAAAAGAAAAACTCATAAACAAAGAACTTATCTGTTCTTTAATATTTTCCCAAAGAGCTGCCCATTAGATACCTGGGAATTAGGAAATGGAAAATCTGCTCCCCATCTCTGAGAATTCTGTGGAAGTCCCCAGGCTCAGGCTTACTTTTTAAATCCTTTTTAAAAGTCTGAATTCACCTGCTACAGAGGGCCTCTGAAAGCCAGAAGAAAACAGGAAACAACCTTGAAACCTGCCACAGAGGGCCTCTGAAAGCTTCTGCAGTATAGACTGTCAAAGCAGATGCTGAGCCTGATGGCCAACTGATGGGCAGAGTGAATGGAATTTTATGTAAGAAGTGGGAAATAGTAAGAGCTGGAGGGGACGGGAACTCCACAAGGAGAGCAACAGAACAAGATAATTTGAACACAGGGAACTTCCCAGAAAATCATACTCCAACCAAGGACTATTCATGGAGATGACCTGGAACCCCTACACAGGTGTAGCCCATGGCAGTTCAGTGTCCAAGTGGTTTACATAGTAATGGGAAGAGGGACTGCCTCTGACATAATCTGATTGGCCTGCTTGTTGATCACTTCCCCCTGAGGGGGGAGCAGCCCTACCAGGCCACAGTAGAGGACAATGCAGCCACTTTTGATGAGAACTGATAGACTAAGATCAGAAAGAAGAGGAGAACCTCCCCTATCAGTGGACTTGGGGAGGGGCATGCATGCAGAAAGGGGAGGGAGGGTGGGATGGGGAGGGGAGGAGGGAGGGGCTTATGGGGGGATACAAAATGAATAAAGTGTAATTAATAAAAAATTTAAAAAAATTAAAATAAAAAAGCAGAAAAAAAAAGTCTGAATTCTACTCAGCTTTCTCACTCCTATTGGGAAAGAAGCTCTGTGAATAAAAACCTGTGCATGGATTTACTGATCCCACTCAGAACCATGAAAGTTTGCAGGAGGGCAGGAAGGATTTCAGGCCTGAGGATTAGCAAAGTTTTCAACTCCAACTTTCTTTCCTTTACTAGAATTGCCAAGGGTAATACTAATGACTGTAAGGTTTCAGAAATGTCTAGAACCTTGTAAAGAAAATGACGCATTCCTTTTTTCATAATCTGCCAGTCAATGCTAAATGGTTCCCAAGACAGGTCTTCTGGGCTGGTGAAAAACATGCCATCACAAACTCCTGGAGTGTGAACTATGGCCACCACCATTCATACAAGGCAACAATGCGCTTGGCAAAAACAAGAGCACACTGGGGCTAGAACAAAAGTGTATGTGAAATATCCTTTTATCAAAACACAAAGCAGTCATAACTCCAAAGCCAAAAAAAAAAAAAATTAAAGAATGGTTAAGTAGAAGTATATAACAGCTTCTAGTTCCCAAAACAGTAACACAAAGTGGAACAAGGTGTACAGTTTCTGTGATAGTCAAGAACTAACTTGGCTGATCATCAAAGATGGCTAGGAATTATGAAAAGTCACGTTACATCAAAGGAATTAAAAAAGACCCATATACCCCAGAAAAAGACACTTAAGCACACTATTTACAAAAGAACTACACGTCTAGCAGATGGTAGAAACTCAAAGGTCTGCCGACCTCTACCATGGCAAGGCTCCAATGCCACATCTAAGCATCTGTCCTAAAGGTACACACAGATCAGTGCACAAGTACTTTCACTGCACCATTACTTACAGTAGCAAAAAGACAGAATACTCCCAAATGTCTATCACAGGCAACACGTTATGAACCTAAGTGCCACATGCCCTGGAAAGAGAGCCTGCCACTCCCAGGCAAGAAAGGCATCAGCTGGAGGGAAGAAGAGCTGCACCCAGCCCTGCTTGGAGAAGGGGTGCTCCCTGAGAGCCCCTGACCTCCATTCTGGACTCCCTAGGAAAATGGGAGAAGAGGAAGGGAGAAGCCACCAGAGGCAAGTGGCTCAGGCACACAGAAGAAAAGGGGGGAAAAACAGCCCTGACTGGGGCTCTTTACCTTAATAGAGAACTAACAGACCACCAAAAGGGTAAAGCAGGGGTTCTGCTAGGTCCTGGGGCCCACTTTTTGACAGCCCTTAATCGTGGACTATACAGGTGGAACAGGAAAGCACAGTTGCATAGTTTGGGACATGGTATTACAGGTGGCCTTGCATCTGTTGACCCTACTCTATGCACTCCATGACGTGTATCTGCAGAGTGTCCATATCAGGAGCCTGATACTGGCACTTGGGACAACAAAAGTCAGGTGGTTCCTCAGGAGGGATCCTCCGCTGGTTGGACAAGGGCGAATGAAAGGAGTGGTGAGCTGAGAAGAAAAAAAAAAAAAAAAGAACACAGGATAGCTAAGTGGGCTTCATGCACAGCCTGGGTAGACCTCAAAGAGAAGGAGGAGCTAACAAGGTCTGAGACCTATTGATACCACCATATCTGACTACATGTGTGGCTGGGAGCAACCTCTACCAGCAGTTTTTCTTTTGACTCAAAGTGATGTGGGCTACTGACTGGGGTGGCCAACAGGACCTCCCCACATCACAGCACCAGAGAAGCCAACACAGGCTTTTCCTCAGCACAACATTCTGCCCCCCTGCCCATCTCCTCCCAGCATCTACCACCTGTTCACTCACCCTGAGCAGGGAGTAAAGGGGGCTGGGAAGTCTCTACATGCCGCTTCCTCATATCCTCAATCCTTTGAAAAACAGAAAGCATTCAATCAATGTCTGTGGGGCTTTTTTTATGAATAAATACTTCCATTGAGATATAATTCATGTACCATACAGTTCAGCAATTTAAGCTGTATCGTTCAGTGGGTTTTACTCTATTCAGCATGTCCAATCATCAGTATACTTTAAGAATATTTTTGTGGGCTGGACAGATGGCTCAGAGGTTAAGAACACTCTCTGTTCTTCCAAAGGTCCTGAGTTCAATTCCCAGCAACCACATGGTAGCTCATAACCATCTATAATGAAATCTGACGCCCTCTTCTGGCACGCAGGCACATATGCAGGCAGAGTGCTATATAAATAATAAATAATAAATATTTTTAAAATAATAAATATTTTTAAACAATTTATTATTTAAATATTGATTTTAAAAAGTATTTATTATTAAATAAAATATTATTTAAATAATAAATAAAAAGAATTATTTTTAAAAATAATTTATTATTTAAATAATAAATATTTTTTTTAAAAGCTGGAGTCATCTGATAAAAGGGAATCCCAAATGACTAAATACCCCATTAGATTGGCCTGTCAGCAAGTCTGTGGGGCATTTTCTTCATTGAACACTCATGTGGGAGGGCCTAGTTCCCTAGGGATGGTGCCACTCCTTGGGTAAGCACCTGAGTTTTCTAAGAAAGCAAACCAAGCAAGCCACGGAGAACAAGCCAAAAAGCAGTTCTTCCATGGTTTTGGCTTCAGTTCCCATCTCAAGTTCCTGACTTGACTCCCCTCCATGATTGCAACTATAAGTTGAAATAAACCCTTTCCTCCACAAGTTGCTTTTGGTCATGGTGTTTATCACAGCAGTAGCAACCAAACTAAGACAGACAATAGTAATAGGTTCTTGGGGAATTGCTGAGACAGACATGACCATGTTGTTTTGTGGAAGACTGTGGAAGGATTTTGGAACTTTGGGCTGGAAATGCCATCTCAATACATGCATTGCTGTGAAGTTTCTGGCTGGACCAGTGGGAAAGGTAATTGCTGGAAGGACAGGACACAGGGAGAGCAGCAGGAGGTATAGGAAACTCAATACAACTGCCAAGAGCCATCAATCTCCTGTAGCTACTACCGGTATCCACTTTCTCTGTGTGTGGCTGTGCTCCTGGCTACACTCTTAAAGGCCCACCTGGCTGACTCATGGCAGCCAACTTTCAGCTTGTTGAATTCACGCTGTAGCTGCTCAAGCTGCTCCTGCAGAAGTTCCTTCTTCTCCACCAGCTTCTCCCGAGCATGTCTCTCAGCTTGGAAGTCAGCCTTGTAGATATCCGCCTGGCAAAAAGAACAGAGGTATGCCTACCATCCATCACCTGCCCTTCAAGCATTCTATACCATATCCCGGAGGAATGGAGCCCTGTCCTGTCCCCTAGGACTCCATGATAGTATACCAGGAACAGATATGAAAGCCTGTGATCCCAGGAACACCAAGAGGTCAAGTAACAATGCAAAGGAGTCAAGAAGACTAAGAGAGGCCACTACAAAATGGTGCCAAAAAGGTACACAAGACCCTATGGCCTGGGTGGGAAGGCTACTCATATGGTAAGCAGGCTGGAACAGAGACCTCACCTGGGCCTTCAGGACTGGTACAGTCTCCATCACAATCTTGTGCTGCTCAGCCTCCTCTTTCAGCTTATCAATCAATTCCTGTTTTGCTACCAGGGCCTCCTCGGCTTGCTGAAGCTGTCGCCTCAGATCTTCCAGCTGCATGCCCTAGAGAAGGACAAAGAATTCTGGCAGTCTCTTGGCCTACAGTGGGACCAAACTACTTGCCTGGCTGGCCACTGTTCTAAGAACTAAGAAGGAAATGCTGGAACAAAGCCGGACCTTTGGACTTCAGATCTTAATATGTGCAGGGAGAAGACTGCATCCTGTTGTGGCCCTATAGTACAGAAGAAATGCTGAGGTCTTTCTTAGGCTGCACAAAGATCTTAAGACTGATAGGAACTCTCAGGCTATAAGCACTGCCTCCTACTCTGTGTCATTTCCTTCAGAGAATCCCCAGCTAGGCAGCCTTCCCCTTGACCCTTCAAGAACAGAAGCCACCATCCCTCCTGAGGCTTCCCACTCACAGCAAGTAAGTACTATGTACTAACCATCCAGGCTCCAGTCCTACCATACACCAGGCAAGGCTGAAACCCTGGGTCCTTCCACTCTGCCACTTGGTCAAAGGTCTGCTCATCACACACACCCTATAAACATGTACACATGCTCTCAACCAGGAATTCCCTCCTGGGATTAAAGCAGCCATTTTTAAAGATTTTAATTTATGTCTCCCTGTGTGTGTGTGTGTGTGTGTGTGTGTGTGTGTGTGTGTGTGTGTACCCACAGAAGTCAGAGATGGTATTAATTAGATCTACCAAGGCTAGAGTTGCAGGTGGCGGGGAACAAAACTTGGGTCCTACGAAGAAACAGCAAGTTTTCTTAACCACTGAATCATCTTTCTAATCCCTTAAGCAGCCATATAACTAATTCTTCATCCTGTGACCTGGTTTCATGCTTAATCCTTACAAATCTTCTATGAGTACATTATAGTTGACAATATCCTTCTTAAAAAGTGACCACTAACTCTGTTTAACTATGCACAATTTGTGTTAGCTTTCAAGGTCTTTTCTCAGTTCACTTCTATTATTATTTAAATTTTAGACAAAAATGTTTTTATTTTTAAATTAGTACCTGAGTTAACTCATTTAATGAGGGATTTTTCTGCATAAAGGTCTTCATGTTTTATTGTTTAAGCCCTCCCTTAAAGCATTTGCTAAGAATAATAGTGTTCAAGTATTTTTAATCTACTTGTGCAACACTATTTATAGTCTTTCAAAAGTTGTTCATACATTTTATAAATTAAGGCCATATTTAGGTGCTAGAGATGCTCACCTTTTACATAGAAGGTTAAAAAATTCAGTGATAACTGCAGAAGAAAAAAAAATACTCCCATGGAGATATAATAATCATTATGGCATCCAGTTCTTAGCCTAAATTTTTATTTGTGTGTTTCCCTATGTTTTCTTTTTATTTATTAAAATTTATTCACTTTGTATCCCAGCTGTAGCCCCTTCCCTCAGCTCCTCCCAATCTCACCCTCTATCCACCTTATCTCACTATGCCCCTCCCCTAGCCCACTGACAGGGGAGTTCCTCTTCCCCTTCCCTCTGACCCTAGCCTATCAAGTCTCATCAGGACTGTCTGCACTGTCTTCCTCTTTCGCCTGGTAAGGCTGCTCCTCCCTCAGGGGGAGGTGATCAAAGAGTCTGTCCCTGAGTTCATGTCAGAGACAGCCCCTGCTCCCATTACCAGGGAACCTACTTGGAGACTGAGTCTATGGGCTACATCTGTGCAGGAGTTCTAGGTTATCTCCATGCATGGTCCATGTTTGGAGTATCAGTTTCAGAAAAGACCCCTGGGCCCAGAATTTTTGTTTCTGTTGCTCTCCTTGTCAAGTTCCTGCCCTCTCCAGGTCTTTCTAACTTCCCCTTCTTTCATATGATTCCCTGCACTCTGCCCAAAGTTTGGCTATGAATCTCAGCATCTACTTCAAATCTCTGCTAGGTCTTTCAGAGGCCCTCTGTGGTAGGCTCCTATCCTGTTCCCTGCTTTCTCCCACTTCCAATGTCCATCCCATTTGCCTTCTAAATGAGGATTAATCATCCTACCCAGGGTCCTCCTTCTTGCTTAGCTTCTTTAGGTGTAAAGATTTTAGTATGTTTATCCTATATTATATGTCTAATATCCACGTCTAAGTGAGTATATACCATGTGTATCTTTCTGCTTCTGGGATACCTCACTCAGGATGATCTTTTTCCAGGTCCCACCATTTGCCTGCAAATTTCATGATTTCCTTGTTTTTAATTGCTGAGTAGTATTCCATTGTGTAAATGTACAATTTCTGTATCCATTCCTCAGTTGAGAACATCTGGGTTGTTTCCAAAGTCTTGCTATTATGAATTAATCTGCTACAAACATGGTTGAACAAATGTCCTTGTTATATACTTGAGTATATTTTGGATATGTGCCTAGGAGTGGGTATAGCTGGATCTTGAGGTAACCCTATTTCTAATTGTCTGAAAAAGTGTCAGATTGATTTCCAAAGTGATTGTACAAATTTACATTCCCACCAGCAATGAAGGAGGGTACCCTTTCTCCACATCCTCTCCAGTATGTGCTGTTCCTTGAGTTTTTGATCTTAGCCATTCTGATGGGTGTGAGGTGAAATCTCAGGATTGTTTTAATTTGCATGTCCCTGATAACTAAAGATGTTGAGCATTTCTTTAAGTGTTTCTCTGCCATTAAATATTCCTCTATTCAGAATTCTCTATTTAGTTCTGTACCCCATTTTTTATTGGATTACATGATTTGTTGCTGTTTAACTTCTTCAGTTCTTTATATTCAGTTCTGGATATTAGCCCTCTGCCAGATGTAGGGTTGGTGAAGACCTTTTCCCAGTCTGTAGGCTGTCATTTTGTTCTGATGACAGTGTCCTTTGCTTTACAGAAGCTTTTCAGTTTCATGAGGTCCTATTTATTGATTTTTGGTCTTAGAGCCTATGCTGTTGGTATTCCGTTCAGGAACTTGTCTCCTGTGCCAGTAAGGTCAAGGTTCTTCACTTTTTCTTCTAACAGGTTTAATGTGTCTGGTTTTATGTTGAGGTCTTTGATCCACTCAGACTTTATTTTTGTGCAGGGGGATAAGTATGGGTCTATTTGCATTTTTCTGCATGTAGATACCCAGTTAGACCAGCACCATTTGTTGAACATGTTATCTTTTTTTCCATTGTATGGTTTTCTTAGCCTAAGTTAGGGAGGAGTCAAATTTTATCCACAATAACTGCCTATTTTGTTAAAATAAATGTATAAAAATATAAAATTTTGTTTAAACTCTGCAACTATGAGAACTATTTTTTGCACAGTTGTACACACACATACACACACACATACATCATAGAGCTTTATTTTGCTCTTCTGCCTTTCCTTCTATTTCTCCTCATTTTATTAACAGAAAAAAACAGAGAAACTCCTATTTTTGTGAATCCCTCTTCAGACATTTCATCTTGCATAGCCACACTGTTCTAGAACTTCACAGATCTTTATGGTAAACATTTTTAAGAAATTTTAGTGAGAAGCAGCAATGCCTTCATAAATCAGTTTCTCTAGTCTACTAATATCATTTAGCTCCCCATTGCTCTCTGGAGTTGTTTATTTAGTGGGGAGGGCTGTTTTTGTTTTGGGGGTGGTTCTTCTGTTTTTTTGTTTGTTTGTTTTGTTTTGTTTTGTTTTGAGACTGTACATATCCCTGGCTGTGCTAGAACTCAATCTGTTGACTAGGTTGACCTCTAACTCATGATGATATGCCTGCCTTACCTCCAGAATGCTGGGATTATAGGTATCTGCCACCAAGCCCAGAATCAATATGTGAGCTTTTGACAACCTTGTTACATTTTTTTATATGACTTACTGAGTTGTAAAGAATTATCAACAGTCCATTCTGTCTATTTCTATTTAGAAAGAGGAGGACAGCTAATAAACTTTACTGTTTAAAAAAAAATGTGACCACTACAATGTTGGTCATAGTGGCACACACTGGAATCTCAGCACATGGAAGATGGAGGCAAAAGGATCAGGAGTTCAAGGCCAGTTCAGCCACCTAAGAGTTCAAGGCCAGCCTGGGTTATGACACCATCTTTAAAAAACTGAAAAAGTATGGGTGAGGGAGATAGCTCAGTTAATAAAGTACTTGTGAGGACCTCAATTCAAGCCCCAGAACCCACATAGGAAAAAGAGCTGGGCATGTATAGCTCCTGAGGAATAACACCAATGATGTCCTCCAACCTTCACATATATTTGTGAATAGGCACACACACAAAGTTATCACTAGAACTGACAAGCTCTGAGCCACCTCAGAAATGTTTCTGAGGAAACTAGAGAGGCTGGAAAGATGGCTCAGCTGTTAAGAATGTTTATTGTTCAGTCTTCAGTACTCACATGGCTCACAACTGTTTATAACTCCAGTTCCAGGAAATCTATCACTCTTTTCTATCTTCAGCATGTACCAAGCACACACACACAGTGCACATACATATATGGAGGCAAAATACTTCTTTATATTAAATAAATATCAAAATGTTTTTAGAGAAAAAAATGTTTTAGAGAAGAAATGTGTCTAGGACTCTTCATGGCTCTAAGCATGAAGGATTGGCTATGCAGAAAAATAGCCCTGCCACAGACCTTATCTGAAGGTCCTAGACACAGATATCCTAGTGATGTCCTGTGGATGTGTCTCATCTCCTTGTGGCTATCCATAAACTGTCACAGCTGCAGCCCCAATGACGGTGTCAGACAACTTGAGAGACCCTTTCAAAAGCTAGGTGCTCTAGATCTCAAAGGTCATACTGCTCACCTTCAGGTACCCTAAGAAAAGAAGAAAAAAGCCTCTCCCTGGAAAGCCCAGGGCAGTCATACTTATGAACTTGTGTTCGTCACTCACCTTGCTGCTCTTAATGTGGCTATCATAGTCTTGGAAGAGCTGGTGATAGGCTGCCTGCAACTGAGCCAGCTTCCGCCTGTGCAAAAGGAGCAAAAGGAATACAGCCACAGACTGCATATTAAAGTTTCACCCTCTTCCTTCTTGTCCCATAAAATAGCTGAAGTGTGGGCTTTCTGGATTATATCTGGGTTCCTGAGGCCATCAACTCTTAAGGCCAGCTTTGCTAACTGCAAGGATTCACTTCAACTGACTTGGCTACTACATAGTTCATGCTTTCCTTAAAGCCAAAGTCCTGGAATGTTTCTAACAAGGGCTAGAGTACAACTCAGGAGTAGAACCTGTGCCCTAGTGTGCTTAAGGCCCTACACTCTATCTCTAGCACAGAAAAGAAAATAAAGGGACATTGTTCTAAATTAAAGGAAACCCAAAAGGATGCTAAACCAGATGCCAATAGCCGGTTGAGAACCTGTACAGGCATTGTAGACCAGATAAGGAGTCTTTAGGGACAACTTAAAGCCACTATAGCTCATTGCTTTCCTTACACCAAGAGCCTATTTTAACTCTGGTGAAAAGAACCTATGTAGGACACACAATAAACTATGAGTGTGAATGGAAAATATTTCTGTTTACATGTAATAGTTGACTCTGTCATTAACAAGGCAGGGGGAGAAAATTGGCCCTTCTCTACACAGCCAGTTCCTACCAGGACTCTCCAGAAGGCAGAAAGCACCACGGGTCCTCTGATCTCTTGGTCCCGAGTCTACCAGCCACTCACTTTTCCTCTGAGGCAGCCTGTCGCTCCATTCGAAGGGCAGCCTCCACACTCTGGTTCTGCATGCGCAGCTGGTCCACCTGCACACTATGCTGCTGCTGCAGGGCTTCCCGCTCACTCTCCAGCTGTCTGACCTGCTCACTAACAGCTCGCATCCTGATATGCAACAAAAGAGAACATGCTGAGGGAACTGTGAGCAGGGCAGACTGTAGAAGGGTCCTGAATAACCTGTGTCTGAGAGCTGATTCTGGTGGCAGGGTAAAGGGACCATGTCAAGACAGCAGTTGGAATATGTAAAATACAAAACATCTCCTGACATGTATTGCCTCTACGCAGGGGCCCAACAGTCATGTGCAGTTGGAAAGGAGGTAGACTAAGAAGAGGATAAGGTACCTGCGTCCTAAACTGCTGCTGGACCAGGTGGGAGGAGTCCCTGGAAAGGTACCAAAGCAGTCTGGGTAAAGGGATGTCAAGAGACTGTTCTAGAAGCATCAGGGTAGACTGCCATCTGAGCTCATTAGCACTGAGCTCAGGGATAGGCAGGAAGTACTGTGATACTCACAACTCAGCTGAAGTCCCAGGCACCCTCATTTGAGGCTCAGGTTCCATACCTGGGTTATACAGCCTCACGGTGTAGGACACCGCATCAATAGTCTCCACAGAGAATTCATCTCTCCCTCTATACTGTAAAAGCTTATGTTGTCTCACTTATATCATCCATGGTCCACTTATCTTCTAACCCTGGCCCATAACACCCCACAGTTTTCCTCCAACTCCTCAGCACCCTGGTATCTCCCTGTGTCCTATGTGCTCATTACAAAAGAATGGGTCTCTTGAGGAAGACCTCTGAAGGCAGATCACCTCAATTCTGCTAAAGCAGGTCTGGACTGGGCCTGCTCCCCTTTGTCCTAGTCTCACACTGCCCTTCCCCCACCCACCCACCACCAGTGGTCTCTAAACGCAAGTTTAACTCTCCTCCCTCCCACAGGATAGGAGCCCCAACCCACTTCTCTACAAACACAATGACTATCTACTGCACTGAGAGGGCCAGGGTTACCCTATTAGCTTCACCAACTACCTAGAGGACAGCAGCAAGGCAGTATGAGAGGCACAATAGTGGCCATGCCTGTGACTCAATAATCCCATGTGACAACCCAATCCCCTTGGCAAAAGAAAGTGAGTGACAGTCCCAAGGACACTAGCTGACAAAACCAGCCAAACTCAGTTTTCTGCCAGGAATCAGAAATGTTGGTACATGCCTGGCAGAGGATGCCAACCTGACCAATTCCCAACAGAAACATGGGGTCCAGAGTCTCTAATAAAAAGTAGTTCATGAGGGCTCTGTGCTTTTCGTGGAAATGACTGGATGTATTCATTCTTCTTCACCTAGGACTTTCTGCCTTGGTAGAATCCCACTGCGTATCAGTCTGGAGAGTAAGCTCTTAAGTATGATCTTAGGGGCCCTACAGTGCTTCTTAAAGAATAAGTTGAATCCCAATGTGATGGTTTGAATGAAAATTCCTCCCCTAGGCTCATAGGAGTAGCATTATTTGAAAGGATTAGGACATGTGGCCTTGTTGGAATATGTGCAGCCTTGTTGGGAAGTGAATCACTAGGGGTGGGCTTAGGTTTCAAATGATCAAGCCTGGCCCAGTAGCTCACTCACTGTTCCTGCTGCCTGACAATCCAAATGTGTAACTCTCAGCTACCTCTCTAGCACCATGTCTGTCTGCTTGCCGCCATGTTTCCCACCACGAAAATAATGGACTAAACCTCGGAATATAAGCAAGCTACAATTAAATGTTTTCCTTACAAGAGTTTCCATGGTCATAGTGTCTCTTCACAGCAATAGAAATCCTAAATAAGCACCCAATAAAGAGTCAGAGCCTAGAAGCAACAGCTGGAACTAGATTCCTGGATAGCTGGCCAGGGCTCTCACAAGGCAGCCCTGAGAGCGTCAGGGAATTTAGGAAAAGATTGTCAGTCATTCTTCTCAGAGGACAGAGGAATTCCTAGGGGCACCTACATTTGCCTCATTCCAAATCCTGGAAGGGGCCCACTGGGCTAGCTTCTCCTCCCCACTCACCTTCCCTCTAAAGTTTGCTGTTCCTTGGTGGCAGCCTCCAAACGACTCTGGCTCTCTTGGAGTTCTCCCAGCAGTGATGTCACCTGGGCTTTCACGGAGGCCTTGTCCTCAGCCATCTGCTGTAAGAGAAAGGTCATTTCCTATCAGTGCTGCTTTCTCCCATGATGCCCACTTTTGACTTCCCTAAGACCTGAGGCAGCCTTTAAGCCGCTGATGTATCAAGGGCTTCTCTTGCCTCTCAGCACCTATAAACCTAGATACTTTGGAACCTCATTAGCCCAGTGGCTATCTGTCTTCCCCCAGTCACCAACCTTGACTCTCAGCTGGTAATGAACTTTTCTCAGTCTCTTTGAGACTCTGTAAAAAGAGACCAGACTCAAATACAGCAACAAAAATAAACACCTAGTCCATACATACAACAAGTGAGAAGTTTCAGTATGACAAAGGAGACTAGATTTTTTTTTTTAAATACTGAGCACTAAACCAGCAAGAAGGCTCATTGAGTAAAGATACTTGCTACCAAGGCCTATAATCTGAGTTTGATCTTCAAAATCCACATGGTGAAAGGAGAGAAACCAACTAATAACAGTCTCTTCTGAGTGTAAACCATGATCAGCTCAGCCAAACTTTAAGGTTGACCAAACTTTAACATGTATTCAAACAGTTTAAGATGACATTCCTATAATGTTCCAGGCCCCTTCGTGGATCCTACTTTTAAATGTTAAAGAAACTGACACTTGACATAGGCTTGACCTTTGCTAGAAGCCTTGCCAGCCATGACTCCTTCCTCTATCCTTCTCAAAGCCTATGTATTTCCTATGACCCTAACCCTGTCTCAAAAACCTGACTGCAACTCCTTTGAAATGGAATCATCAGTAGGGAAAGGACTTAGACTTCTAGTCTCCAAGTATGGTAAAAAAAAAAAAAAAAAAAAAAAAAAAAAAAAAAACTACCTTTGATTGTACAAGCCTGTAATGACACTGGTCTCATCACATTGACACTAATTTCCTTTGTCAGGCACTTGAGCTCCTTCCTCTGACCAAATCCTTCATTTTCTTTTTTTTTTTCTTTTTTTGTTTTTTTAATATTAGTTACAGTTTATTAACTTTGTATCCCAGCTGTAGCCCCCTCTCTCATTCCCTCCAAATCCCACCTTCCCTCCCTCATCTTCTCCTTGCCCCTTTCCAAGTCCACTGATAGGGGAGGTCCTCCTCCCATTTCATCTTACTCTGGTTTATCAAGTATCTTCAGGACTGGCTGTAAAGTAAATCCTTCATTTTCTTTCTAGCTCTATCTCTGTCTTTATTTCTTGAAGTCCTAGAAACTGAACTTCAGGCCTCACACATGCAAAGAATGCATTCTATTACTGAGCCACACTCTGGGCCCTATTCTCATTTTTAAAAGTCTCAGTCATCGGGTGGAGAGATGGCTTAGTGGTTAAAAGTACTTGCTACTCTTTAGAAGACCAGAGTTCAGTTCCTAGCACCACAACTGTCTGGTAGCTTACAGTCACCTGGAATTCTAGTTTGAGGAGATCTGATACTATCTGGCCTCCAAGGGCACTTGCACACAGACACAGACACAGACACAAAAATAAGACACATAAATAAAAATAAATCTCAAAAAAAGGTAAAATACCCAGTTACCTCTGCAGATCACCAGAACTCATCTAGCTCTTTCCCTTTCATTGTCATCAGTTACGAAACAAAACCTGTTTTCATAGCCTTAGTAACTGTCCACCTTTATGTTTCACATTGGTATCCTTATAAAGAGAGGAGGGCTGTGAGACAGCTCAGCGGTCTCAGTGGGTAAAGATGCCTGCCATGAAATCTAACCACCTAAGTTTGATCTTTGGGATTCACATTAGAAGGAGAGAACTGGCTCCTGAAAGTTGTGCTGCGACCCGCATGTGCACACCATGGCACATGTGTGAGGGCATGAACAGGTACACGGTACACAAAATAAAATTTAATAAAAAAAATTTTAAGAGAAAAGGCCATGTGACAAGAGAGTTGGGAAGCACCAAGGATTACCAACACCGACAATACAGTTGGAGTACTACCTAAAACAGCTCTTGTGAGGAAGCCACCTGCACATGCCTTCATCTTAGGCCTCTGACCTCCAAAACTAGGGACAATCTCTGTTGTCTCAGCCCTCAGTGTGCATACCTTGCTGCTCTTTCCCCAGATAAGAAGCAAATGCTTTGACCAGGTACTCCCAGCCTCACTGTGAACTTAGCCCCACAATGTAAAACTTTACTATGGCACATCCTCCCTACCCTTTCTCCCCAGATTGTCACTCCCAGATGGCACAATCCCTTCTCAACCATTGTCACTAGGGTCCTGAAAACAGCCAGTCCAAAAAGGTCCTGAAGTATACTCTCACTCCACACTAAGCACACCATTCTTTAGGGAGAGTGCAATACAGGGCCAACTTACAGGCCTGGGGTCACATATTTCCTCCCAAGGCTCCTGGGGATCATTTCTGAGCACCCTGGGAAATCCTACCTGATGTGAGTACCTTGATTTATTAGGGGCTTAGGGGTCAGCTAGGCTGTCTGGGCAGGGTCTGTGAGGACTTTGGAACACATGGTATGGTGCGTGGTAGACTTCAGGGTGGCTTGAAACTAAGCAAGCTGGGTCAGGTACCCAAACACTCCATGCCTTCAAAAGTGAGCCCAGTATAAACGTTGGCTCCCAGGGCTCAAGCACATTTCCTAGGTGACAGTGTTCTATGCACGCTGGCCCCACTGCTCACAGCTGGGAGCAATCAAGCCTGAAGAGGTCCTGAGGAACCCCAACAACATGCTTTCTCTGGGAACATGAGCATCACTATGGTCTTCAAACACAGGTGGGGCAGAAAGGCCTCCCCACCCATCAGCTACCTGCTGGCATTTCTTCAGGTGCTCCATATCCTTTAAGGCCTGTTCCCTCTGCCTCCGAAGGTCAAGCTTCTCCAAGCTCAGTCTTTCCACCAGCTTCCTGGCTTCCTGGAATTTGCACATAAGGAATTCCTTCTCCTCCCGCTGGCTGACCTGAAACTGTAGCAGCTCCTCACAGCGTTCCCTTAGCATTTGATTGCTCTGTCGGATAGCATCTGGGCACAGGGAAGATAGCAAAGGAAATGTGAGTCCTGACAGCCAGGCACTCCTCTAATACTAGGAGGCTTTTCTCTAAGAAGTCAAACTAGTTCCCAGCCAATTTCACTGAGTTATGCACCCAAATATCTCCAATGCATTAGTAAAACACATCATCCACATTAAAGGAATACATCAAAATCAACTTTCTTTTATAGCATTTATATTCTGGTCAATTGGAGGTATCCCTACCCTGGAACAGGAATTCCCAGTCCTCCCAGGATGGGGGGCCCTAAACATGCCTGCAGGACTTGGGGAGGTAGGGAGACAGTCCCCAAGGCAAATTTCACTCTGTAGTTTCTAGCTGCAGCCTGGGAGCCCAGAAGGTGCAGACAGGAGAAGTTAGCAGCCACTCTGAGTTTCGTTTTCAGCTGCATATTCAAGAACAGTTAACATCCACCTTACAAAATGAGGGTGACAGGAGAAAGGAGCAGTGCCAGCGCAGAAGACACACTCAAAGATCTCCTACCACTGGAGCTAGCTATGTCTTTCCAAGAGCAGGCCATAGTCCACCTTAGGAAAACAACCCTCTCTCCCCCAAGAAAAACCATATCCCCTCCCACCTAAAAGCTTGCTGTGTCCCAAGAAAGATCAAACCTACTCCCATTGATCCCTACAGCCCACTTTTCTCCTACCCACTGTGGCTTCTCAGCTTGTGCTCCTTCCCCCTCCCTTTTCCATTCCCAGGTACTGGCTTTGAACCACAGTATTTCCTGCATGTGAATCTTCACAGAGAACCCCACCTGAAACCAAGCAGGAAGATGGCTAAGTTTGAAATGCTGGCTGGTTCTGGGGCACATCATGATCTCATACCCTGCCAATAATGAGGTGCAGGTAAAAAGAAATTCTGTCCTTAGTGTGCCAGGCCTTTCCTGATTTTTTTTTTTTTTTTTTTTTTTTTTTTTTTTTTTTTTTTTTTTTTTTACTTCATGCTTCCTTCACACTGCAATCTTTACCTCGGAGCTCTTGATTCTCTTCCAGACAGCGCTGAAGGGTCTCAGAAGTACCCTGCTCTGAAGGCAGATGTAGCATTGTTGGCTTCCCTAGAGAAGATTCTTCACCCGGCATGTCCTGATCCCCTGCTGGGCCACCACTGGGCTGCACCATCTCACTCAGCTGATTCTTCCACAGGTGCCTGCTCATCCAAAAAGACAGTGTCTAGAACAAAAAGGCAGTAGGAGTACATGACACAGAGCAGAGTTCTCTCAAACAGCACAAGGCACTTAATCTGTACAGAAGCTATAAACATCAGTTCATAGCAAAAGGCCGGTCATTTTGTCTTAGTGGAACCAGACACAAAAGTACAGTTTGGGGTCTAAGATGTAGCAAATACTCCCATTCCAAAATAAGAGAATTATAGCGAGAAAGGACAGTATACTGGAAGCTGTATATCTCCCACACACCTTCAAGTAGAAGGAGAGGGTCTTGGCTCCTCACCAAATGTAGCGGAATGATTGATATATCCATGTCCTAAACCCTGCAACCTATAAATATGACTTTACTTGAGGCAGGGGGGGGGTGGAGGGTCTTTACAGATATAGTTAAATTAAGGATCTTAAGTCAGGCATGGTGGAATATGTCTTTAATCTCAGTACTTGGAAGGTAATCAGGCAAATCTTTTTGAGTTCAAGACCAGCCTGGTCTACATAGTAAGAACCTGTCTGGCAAAAATTAAGGCTCTCAAATTGAGATCATACAGAGTTACATGCATGGTCTATGACCCCAAGAACAAGTACCCTTCTGAAAAAACAGACAAAACAGGTCTGGGAATGTAGTTCAGTGGTAGAGCACTTACCTAGCATTCATAAGGCCCTAGGTTCAATTCCCAGCTCCTCACATATACATACGAGACAGAAGAAAGAGGAAAATAGGTGGAAACACAGGGAAATGGCCATGAGAAGACAGAAGCTGAGACTAGATTGATATAACCACAAGCCAAGGAACAACTGAGCCACCAATAATTGAAAGACACAGGAAAGATATTCTTATACAATTTGCAGATGGACCATAGCCTAGTTTACTCTCTGATTTTATTCTCCTGACCTCCAGAACTGTGAGATATAAAATTTCTGTTGTTTTAAGCCACAGGCCCTGTGGTTACTTCTTATAGGAATCAAGAAAACTCAGTTTGGTAAGAGAGACTTCAGGAGACCACACTGTACCTGAGAAGTGTTCTTTGAGGATGGAGGGAACCTCTGGTGTATTCTGTATGCTAAGAAATTTGAAAGTCTAACTTCGGGTGTCAGTCTGAGACAAAAGACCCGTGATTTGCTTATGTTGTCTTGTAAACCAGATTAGAGAGCATTCAGAACAGTGCTAATCCAGAGACCTTCTAAATCCTGCCTAAGACTGACTACCAGGAAGAGGACAATCTCAGTGTAAGTAAAAGAACCTGAGCAGGATCAGCCTTTGAGAGAGTGAGATAGCAGAGGAGGCTTTTCGGGAAGCTGAAGGTGAAAAGGAGGGTAGGGTCGGCTGGGTAAGCTCTAGCAGATGGATCTGTGGGTAGCAACAGTTTTAGGGTAAATAGCCAAACAGTTCCAAGCTGTCCTCACTCCTGAATTCTAGATACAAATATCAAACTACTTGGATGTTTAGAAGTCTTCTCAAGGGGCTGGAGAAATTGCTCAGCTGTTAGAGGAGTCCTCACTGCTCTTCCAGTGTACTCAAGTTCAGTTCCCAGCACCCATGTTGGGTAGCTCACAACCTTCTATAACCCCAGCTCAAGTGGATTAGGAACTCAAGGGAAAGGGATCTACATGAGACTGACTCAAAAAATATTGAATTACGGGCAAGTGAGACAGCTCAGTGGATAAATGCTCTTGCTAGGCAAGCCTGGCGACCTGAGAACACAAGTAAAGGTGGAAAAGAAATACCTGAGTCAGTGTTGTCCTCTGACCTCTACACTTTCTGGCCATGGCACCTGTGTTCGTGTACACATCATGCATGCACACACACACACACACAAACAGTAAGTAAATACTGTACGTAACATACAAATTATGTTTCAATAATGCTGTTATTGAAAATCATAATGGGTGGAGCAAGAGATGATGGGCTCAGTGGTTATGAGCACTTGCTGGATTTGCAGAGGATAGTTCTCAGCACCCAGAAGGTAGCTCACAAACATCTGTATCTCCAATCCCAGAGGATCTGACACCTTCTTCTGACCTCCTTGGGCACCAGGAAAGCATGTAATACACATACATACCCACAGGCAAAACAGCTCTACACATAAAATAACACCTTTTTAAAAAAGAAAATAATCATGGTAGAGGATTATAAGAGGTGTGAATTAAAGTTAGTTATGAGCTAATAGTGACACCTAAGAAATGTGCACATGGAACTTACTCTATTATTATTTCTACTTTTGTACATTTAAATTTTTTTCAAAAATAAAAGTCTGAGAGCACTACCATCTTTCACCTGGATTACTGGAATAATCTCTTTACAGACCACCATACTTTGCTTCTTCCCTTGCCCTTTACATTCATTTTACCCAACTGGAGCCAGTTACCTCAAAGATAACTCAGACTACTTCTCTCCTCTACCATGAACCCATTTCTCCCATTGTAAAAGAAAAAATCTGTACAACAGCCTACAAGGTCCCAAACCACCTAATTCCCTTTCCTTCCTTCCTGCTTGCCTTCCTTCCTCTCAGCCAACTATTCCTCCCTGGCTCTCTCTGCTCCTGCTACCAGTCCTTCCTTTTTCCTAGGAAATGCCAAGACAACACTTTCATTCTCAAGTCAAATAAGTGGTATGCGGACAAGCAAACAGATTACTACTAATCATTTGCAAAGTGAACTGACGTGCTATGTTTAGCTGTCAAGGTACACTTGAAAACTTTTTAAAGACTTCAAATGTACTCAAGTTCGATAAACAGCTTGGCCTGTTGGCACACACCTGTTAGTTACTCCAGTGCTCGAAAGGCTGAGGCAGGAGAATCTTGAGTTCGAGGTCTGCCTGTCCTACATCGCAAAATGTACTTCAGAAGAATCTGATCGACAGAAAAGGTCTTCGAAACCAGAAGAGTTCTAGCACCAGGTGCTAAGCTAAGCCCTTAGGCGACAGCTGCAGTGGAGGGAAGAAAAGAATCAGGCCGACCAGCCGCCCACCTGGGTAGCAAATCAGCGCGCCTCAACCGATGCTCTAGAAACATAAGGCAGAACAAACTGGGCCTAAGGTGGGGGTGGGGGTGGACCTCTGGAGCTTCGGAAGCTGCGGAATGGCCACCGATGTAGCCCTGTCTTTGAAGAAGAGGACCACACCTGTCAGCAGAGTCGGCCTGAAGTGAAGAGGACGGGAGAAGCGGGATCCGACCGCTCCGACAGAATCGGAGCTCCTACAAAGTCTTAATCAGGCGGTCACCTTTCCCTTTTCTGCTGTGGAAAACCCCGCTTCCGGCTTCCGGTGTCGTAAGTGTGGGATCCGGAAGTAAAACACAGACTCGAGGCCGTGGAGATTAACTAGAGATGCGAAAATTCAATAGTGCCTCACCCTGCTCCAAAGAAAAGCCTTAGACCACTGGCCTGCATTGGCCAACAGAACAGTGCAACGCTCTTCACTGATAAAGATCACACTCAACACACAGAGGCATACACACACACTTTTTTTTGAAGCAGTGTATCCTAGCTGCCCTATGTAGATCAGGCTGGCCTTGAATCTACCTATCTCTGCTTCCCGTCTGCTGGGATTAAAGTAGTGCGTCACCACAACCACACTCGCCCCACCCCATTTTCAAGGCGTCGCATCCGCACTGAAACACCCTAGTGTTGGTCTGGTCCTGCCACTGGGATCTCTGCCGCCAGGCCCCATGGAAAAAGCCTAGAGGAAGCTGCGAATGCCCAGCCCAGAAGACTAATCAGCTAAGGAAGGCGTGGCTACGCTGATAGAGGAAGTGGGGTCATGGGGAGGCGACAGGTCTCCGGGGTCCAGAGGAAAACTAGACCATACATTATGACTGGGATGGCGATGGGGACAAAGGAGAACTGTATGGAGCTGCACTTATGCCAGCTAAACACCGCAATCGCCGAGCAGAGGCATCTGGGACGGCCAACAGGGCGGGGCTGGCTAGAGATGCGCACGCACCTACCGCTACTCTTCCTCCCTTCCACCCTCCACCCCCCCCCCGCACTGATGGAGTAATCTGAAGCTCCTCCCCTCCTGCCTCTCCTGAGGCGGGTCAGCTCAGTCAAAGCACCCGCCCTCCTGCGTTAAATGGGCCAGCAAGCGCAGCCCCCGGAAACAGGCTGTGCACTCCAGAGCTGTGAGCGTGTATGGCAGCGGCAACTAAACTAACCGCAGGTAAAGGGGTGGTCTGACGGTACACTGGTGGAGGGACATGCTGCACGCCTGTGCGCCGCGTTTACCTTTGATGCGCGCTACTTGCTATGCTTGGGTATGGAAAAAAAATCTACGAGGTCTTACCCCATCCCTTTGTACCCCGCACTTTCCTCTGCATTGGGCCCATGAGGGCTAGACTTTTAGAAGAGAAGGGACTTTCCTGGATCACTCAGCTGAGCCAGAAGAGAGCTGAAGCTAAACTCCATCATCTGCACAATCAAACGTGCTCAGTTCATTGTGAAGTTTCTGGCGGAGACCAGAGTGCGATGGTCCCAGACACATAGTACTATTCCTGACCTGATTTTATCTAGCTGCCCAGAGTAGATACCCTACGTGGATTCCAGTAATGCTTTTAGTGATTGCGTAATGTGCAGCCCCCTGAGAAAACAACATAGAAGGCATAGATTGGCTGGAGACCAGAGGCAGCAGTTTCTGACTCTGCAAAGTGTTCGCGCATGTACACACACACACTCACACACACAGAGAGAGAGAGAGGGAGCATTCCCAGCCAGTGGTTTTAATAATCAGTCACCAACCTGGTGAGAACCCAAAGGACCCTTGGATAAGGTTAAGCTGTCAATGCTCTTCTTTTTTCCTGTCTTATCAATGAGCCTTTCTTCCACCAGAAAACATCATGGCAGAGCAAGTGGCCCTGAGCCGGACCCAGGTGTGTGGGATCCTGAGGGAAGAGTTGTACCAGGGTGATGCCTTCCACCAAGCTGACACACACATATTTATCATCATGGGTGCATCGGTGAGTCTCCCCTCAGGCCCTGAGTCTAAGAGATCAAATATAGTATTATGCAAGGTGCTAATCTCTGTGTATCTCAACTCTCCCATCTGACTGCTGAGGGACCCACACGTTCTACCAGGTTGAACTCTATGGCATATGCTCCCACCTGTGTGTCCTGATCATCACAACAGTACCTGGTATCAACGTACTTGTGTCACATTTCTCACTTGCGAGGAATTTCAGAAATCTGTGCCCAGCCATTGAATGTAGACCAGACTTGGAGTGTCCAGGTTCTAAAGCACCATACAGTTGGACTTATTCCTCCTGGATAGAAAAAAAACTGAGGTACAATCAGGGAAAAGTCTATATTTTTAACAAATCTGTTATTTGATAAATATTACAGTCGATTTCAGTGGAAGGATCTGAGGTCCTGCCTCTGTCCATTTTCTCTCTACTGTATGAAGTTCCCTGGGAACAAACACTTCTTTGCCACATCTTCCAAAGCTACTGCAGATCTCTGTTCATTTCGCCTGGTCCCAGTTGACCAACTGGAACAACTACCATTGTGCTCTATTAGGAAAAAATGAAGAACAGCACAGTCAGAGGGATTGTTTATTGATGGTATACAGTGAGACTGGGACAGGTGAGGGCTTAAACCATGACCAGCTCACCCTCTCGTATGTGCAGCAGGGCATGTTCAGTGACCAGTGTTTGATGTCAAAGGTAAACTCAATTGCTTGCTTTTAACCCTGGAATCAGCTCACCCTTGTGTGACCATCTTCACCATTAACTTATTGTGTAATATTGGGCAAGAACTTCATCAGTGCTATTGTGTTCTTGAGAAGGTTGCACTGGCTCAGCACCTTCCACACTGGGCCCCTCAATGTGGAGGAACTCTGTGGTTCTTTTTTCATACAGAGTACTGCCACCTACCAAGGGCTAGGGCTGTAGCTCAGTGGTAGAACACAAAATCATATGCATGGGGTCTTAAATTCAATCCCAATACTACCAAAAATGTGGAAACCAGAACATGCCACCCCTTTGCCAAACCTCTTCTTTGTTAGCCTTATGTTTCTAAGCAAAACTGGGAGTGGGAGAACTTAGAAAAGCAAATGCAGAAATAAACAATGGAGAAGGGCTCTGCTACTAAAAGGGAAAGAAAAACACATACTCCAAGGCACTGTCCCCTGACTCCCTGTAACTCTTAAGACCCAAGGGAGGTACCCATTCGGAACACACAGTACAGCAGCCCTACCCTCAGCCCTGGCTCCAGCCTAGTCCACTTAAAGGAGCTGTGCATGTATCAGCCACAAACCTTAGATTGTAGAACTCTGACTATTAGGCCATTTAATCTAAAGCACCAACTGGAAGAGAAAGTAACAGCATTACTTCCCCTGCCCCACCCATACTTTCATAAGCATGCATAACCCAGACAGCAAAGATGGTTTATAACTGCAGGATCTGAACTCTTACATACCTCATTGATTGCTTGTTGTGTGACCTGAAACAGATGTCTACATTTCTCTGAACCTTAGTGGTTTAAACCTTACAAATAAGGGCCAAGCAGCCTCTGGCTTTATCCTAGGCTGATTATGTGAGTTCTAGCCTGAAGTTGAGCAACTTCATTTCACTGCAATCAGTATGGTTCCCCTTTGTTCTCCTCTGCTGTGGCAGTGAGAACCCAGGCTTCTAGAATAGACGTGGGAAGTGCTAGCTCCAGCAGGAGAGAGTGGAAAAGAAAAAGAGATTTGCTGAAGAGCATCATTGTTTTTCTCTGTTCCTGTCAGAGGACCCGAGACAGGTCCTATGTTGACATAGGAGAGGACCCTATGTTGACACAGACCCTAGAGTAGCTTCTGCCTGACACTTCACTGAATGCAGGAGTCAGGTAAGGTGCTAGCTAATTTAGGAAATGTACAAGTTCTCCATTCATTAAAAACATAACAATCGAGTGTCTCTTCCAATCTACAACACCCTCAGTTCCTATCCTCCTTGTAGGGACAGTGTACTTTGCGGAACTGCATGTAACAGAAGTTACAAATGGGCTCTTGTGTACTAAGGCCCCTGCAACACACAGGTTCCAAAACGACCTAGAGAGCAAGGCAAGTTGAGGATAAGAACAACTGCCCTCTAAGTTGGAAACAAGTTCAGTGTGACTTAGAAACTAAAAGGAAGCTAATGGCTGGTAGGCTCCAAGCCTAGGAAACTGGAACACACTAGGAAAAGTTGATCTCAGGCAGCTGTCCTCTGCTCCTTCTTCCTCCCCAGGTCCTTACTTATCTACCTTCCTTCCTTCCTGGGGGCATTCTTTGTCTGCCTCACTGTAGCCAGTCTTCTCAGGACTCCCACCCCAACAACAAAAAGAGCATAAATCCTTACTGTCCCACTCCAGAAAACCCTATCCTTCTGGACCAGTGCAGGGAAGGAACTTTGGGCCTAAAAGGGCATCTCCCCCAACCAACAGGGCCTTGGTGAGGCTAGAGAGTGACCCTTCTTCTATGCAGAAGAAAAGGAGTAGGCCTGGGGGTTCACATTGCCAAATGGGCTCATTTCAAGGCTCATTTCTCCAGATATCAGTTTCTCCACCTGGAGAAACTATGCGACACCCATAGACTCGGGGTATTCAGGAGCCATCCTGCTAACAGGCCTGTGTGAGGAGTGATCTGGCAGTCCCATCCCATCCTTGTTCTTGAATCATTTCGGAGCTGACTTCTCCCTTGGGCTAGTAAGATTCTTGCTGTGTCATGATGACCTTGGCATTCTTCCAAAAGCCGGGTGACTCATGGAACCCCAGAGTGTAGGAAGGAGGCCTTTTGTTAGATTTTTAGCCTAAACCTATCTCACAAGTTTCCATGTCTCATTCCAGTGGCTGGAAACCAGATGATCCTCAGTCACAACCCAGAACTCCAACTTGGGAAGCTAGGTGGATCCCTCCTCCCCAGCAACCCTTGAGAACTGAGTGTCTCTTTCCTGCAAGGCCCTCACTTGAATTTCTCACCCCCAAAACAAGAAGCTGGGTGTAATTTGGGTTTATAATAATACAAGAGGCCAAATCTCAGCTAAACACAGGCCAGCTGGTACTCGGGTCTCTTTGCCCTTATCTGACCAGATAATTATCCCTTAATTCTCTAAATCACCACATGTTCTTAGGTAGATCCCTCCCCTGCCATGGTCCTTGGGGCAATGTGAGGGGGTGGCAAAGATGAGAGACTTCCAGCTACCTCTCTAATTGACCTCACTCCTCACTTGGCAAGTTTAGATCCTAGTTCTTCTCCTCTTCCTTACTTCAAGAGGAGTTCAGTGAAAGTCATGGAGCCAACAGGAAAGGCAGGGCCATCCCCTTCCCTGAGAAGAATGGCTACCTCCCACCCCCACTGTCTTTAGTCCTACCTCGCCTCCTTTGGGTGACTCGAAGCCAGGCAGAGCTGGTTGCAGGGACTGATCAAAAACAAGGAGAGCAGGTTCTGTGGTTAATCCCAAAGGGAACAAGAACAAACAGCTCTGAGTGTGGGGCAACCGTGACTCAGCAGACCAGTCCCCTGCCACCAATACATTGGCTGGAGTCTGTTCTGATTCCTCCCAGTCTGGTGGAATTTGATCATAAGCAAACACTGCCCGCTTACAGATGTCTACAAGCCAGGGTTCTCATTGTTTCTTTCAGTGTCTAGTTCCCAGCAAGCCAGCCCTTTCTGGAATGTAATCAGTGAGGATAAAGCCCTCTGAACATGAGCTACTGCTCATGCGCACATCCCACTGGTAAAAAGTGCCAGAGGCAGACATGGAGGGTACTCTGAGGAACTAAGAGTGACTCTGGTGGGAGATCCTGGCCCAGAATGGGACTTGTGTAAGCTGAGCTCTGTGGAACCTATAAGGGCAGCTATCTCGCTCTACAGGGTAAAAGTTTTGCCCAAATGAGTGA